GAAAATGAGCATTGGTAGGAAGATGCATAAACTGACAAGCTTGATTAATAGCATAGGAGAGATCATAGCTGGTGATAGTCAAATATTGCAGTCCACCAACTAAACTTCTATATAGTGAGGGCTGAGCAAAGGGCAAAGAATCAGCTGCAGAACACACAGCTTTAACAACCATAAGAGAAGAACATGGTTTGCAGTCTGCCATTCATGCTTTGTGCAATAATGCAGCAGCATATTTGGCTTGAGATAAGAAGTAACGATGCTCAGCAGACTGAACTGAAATTGCCTTGTGCATGTACTAAAGAAGCAGAGCAATGAAAACAGAATCATTACCAGTTAGCAAGATGTCATCAACATACACCAATAGCAGAGTGAGACTAGTAGAAGTTTTTTTGATAAAAAGATAGGAATCAGATAGACTGTTTGTGAATCCTTGAGAAAGCAAGAAAGCAGAAAAAGTGGAGTACCAAGCCCTAGGAGCTTGCTTGAGACCATACAAGGCCTTCTTGAGTTTGCAAACATGAGAAGAAGACTGTTCAAACCCTAGAGGGTGCAACATATAGACTTCTTCTTGAAGAGTACCATGAAGAAATGCATTCAAAATATCAAGCTGTTTGATAGACCATTGAGATTGAAGAGCAACACTTAAGAAGATTCAAATTGTGGGTTGTTTAGCCATGGGACTAAAAATCTCATGAAAATCAATTCCCGCTTGTTGCAAAAATCCCTTGGCCACCAATCTAGCTTTATAACGAGCAATGGAACCATTTGAATCTCTTTTAATGTGAGAAACCCATTTGCACCCAATGGCAATTTTATGAGAAGGAAGATTAACAAGATCCCAAGTGCCTTGTTGTTGAAGAGCTTGATATTCCTCCTTCATGGCTTGAAACCACATAGGAGATTGAAGAGCAGCTTGAACAAATGTAGGTTCAATTTCAAGAAGAGAAACTTTAGCAGAAAAACACTGAGGAAGTTTATATTTAGATCTAGTAATCATGGGATGTATGTTAGATACAAAGGAAGGAAGAGAAGGAGGAGGCAAATCAATAGTAATAGAGGAAATAGGAATAGGCTGAGGAAGAGAAGGAGAAGTAGGTGCAGGAAGAGAAGAAGAAGGCTCAGAAATTGAAGAGGGCTCAGAAGGAGCAATAGATAAAATAGAGGAAGAATGAGACTGAGCAGGAAGCACAGATGAAGAACTGAGGGAAGAAGGCCAGAAAAAGGATGTAAGAGTAGACAAATCTGAAGATGAAGAAGAGAAAACTAAGGACTACTGCTGAGAGAAAGGAAAGCATGATTCATTAAAAATTACACGCCTAGTGTAGACATCCCATTTTTGACAGTCCTCAAGACTTGGACGTCATCGTTTGAACACTCGATGATCATCCATGCTCTTGTTCGTTTTGAGTTCTCGGAGGTCTCGGCTACGCGCCTTGCCTCAAGATCTCTCAACTTGTCTATTCTGTGCTTGGTTGTGAACCAAACACTTGTGTTCTTGCTTCTAAGGGAAGAGGACAGCTTTTTTTGCCATGCCCTCAACCCACCGGCCAAGGCTTGAGGCCACTGGCCCTATTTCCTTTCCATCGGCCAAGTATATTGGCCGATCGGCACTGTTTTTGGTCGGCCGGCTATTGTGTTGGTCGATCGGCCATTTTTGCTGGCCGAACCATGTTCATCTGCTTTATGCAGATATTTTATGCCAGCTGGCACAACTGGCATGCACAATTGACCCCCTCTATACACGTGTATGGAGGGATTTGAGCTTTGCTTAGCTTCTCCAAGAAGCTATGAAATTTGGATTTCTATAAGAGGAGAGGCCCTCCTCCCTTCTCAGAGGTTCTAGAAATTAGGGTTAGAATAGTTGTATCTCTCCATCTCTATATCTCCCTATCTTTACACTTTTGTGTGTGTTTTTGTGACCTAAAGTGTGATTTTGTCTTACTATTGCACACAAACACCTAACACTACACCATCCTTGGTAGTTGAGGCATTAGGGAGCTAGTGTTAGGGTTCTTGGACTGATTTTGATCAGAAAAAGGTGTTGGTGTTGTGTTCTTGGAGGTGTTCTTCAAGGGTGAGCATTCTTGCTTTAGATACCCCATTTTTGCTTAAGCTTTTAGCCCTTCTTGCTTATTGTTTTAAGCTTAGCTATTAACTGATAAAAGTTCTATTCTTACTTGCTTTAGAACTTTGTTTAAGGTTATTTTGAGGTTTGGGGTTGTTTACCCCCTTTAAGGCCTTGTTAGGCCTTGTTTTAGGCCATCTCTATTGGCCCTTGCTTTAAGCTTTGCATGGCCTCTCTACCACTGAAATCCAGAGGATTTTCAGTGGTGGAGAGGTGGTTTTGAGGTCTTAAATAGGAGAGGGTCATCCCCTCTCCGTGTTGTCTTGAATGCTTGCATAAATGGCTTATGTTGGTGGCTTGTATGCTTAGCTTGTTTTAACTTTATTTCAGTGTGTATTAGGCTTTGTTTTGCCATAATATACCTCTGTTTCAAGTTGGTTTAATGGTCCCTTGCATTCATCATGTACTTGCCTTGTAATCCCCTTATTTGCCTTAACATGCATCTTGTGTTTAGACTACCATTCTTGCATGTTTTGGCTTAGCTTAAAGAAGATTTTGTTCATGTTTTATCATGTTTAAGATCTGATTTTAGTTGTATCGGTCATCCATGCTACGCTTTGTATAGCTACCATGTAATCTAGCTTGTTAGCTTTGAGTATCCAAATCACTAGCATGCTTTACTTGGCTCATTTCAGTGATTTGGCATCACTTGTTATGTTATTTCAGTCCCTATAGTATGCTCATGTACTTGCACTTATCACTCCTTTAATGCTTTAAAGGGTTTGTGTTTTATGCATCTTGAATTGATCATTGTGAATGCTTCCATGTTTAGGTCTTTGGGATGCCATCTAAGTGGGTTTTTGGGCTCATTCTAACATTCCATAACTCTGATTTTATTGGCGTAAATCATACCATGTTTGGTTTTGATAGGTGTAGTGTAACACCCGTTTAGTAGCCTTGCATGCCTCTTGTTTTTGGCGTTGTGTTCTAGCTTGTGTTGGCTAGTTGCGGGTTTGTTTTTGGTCTTGTTTAGACCTACCTTGGGACTGTTTTAGGTCCCCTTGGCCCTTTGGGGCTTGCTTTGTGTGGCCATGGTTTGAGTCCCTTGGCCAGCCTCAAGCCTTGGGCTTTCTTGAATGCTTTACTTGTGTAGTTTGGTTGATTTGGCACCATCCTTTGCATGATTTCAGAGCTTAACATGTTTGTTGCATGCCCATATTTGTCTCTTTTAAGTGTGCTTAAAAGTCGCCCTTGTATGCTTAAGTGTTAGGTTAATTAGCATGCATGTTTGCATGTATATTTCATGCCTTTGTCGCATCATTTTGGCTACTGATTTAGACCTATTTGAGAGCTGTTCATTTCGGTTTAAGACCATCCCCGCATGTTGTTGCATGCTTGCCTTGCATGTTGTTGCACACTTGAGTTATATCGCATTTGGCATGTCCCTTTTGCTAAGTTGCTTTGCATGTTTGCATGTATTGTCCCTTGCATGTTGTTGCATGCTTGCCCCACATGTTGTTACATGCTTACCTATCCTTGAATATTGTCACATGCCTTGCATGTTCGCATGCTTGTCTAGGTTGCATTGTATTTGGCATGCTTATTACCATTAGCCTCGTAGGGCATTGTAATTAACATGCTCATGCTGCATTAGTTTTGATTGCATATTTGCATCCCTTGCCTCTGGATCAACTATGATAGAGTTTGGGGCCCCTTGTTTGTTTTGTGTGCATTTCATTTGATATCAAATGCATACTTGGCTCCTTTAACCATCATGCATTGTAATGCATGATTGATGGTCCGAGGGTCGAGAACCATACTCTCTTGAGTTCATAACACGATAGGGAGGGTGGTTGTGCAAACATTGTCTTGTAAATGCATTGCCATGCTCTGTTTGTCCTCTGCTGCAGCAAAACAACATTCTGCAGGAATAGATGGCCGGTCGGCCATTTGACGTGCCGGTCGGCTACAAATTGTTGGCCGAGAGCCTTACATGTGGTCGATGAACAGTTATCCTTGGCCGATGGTCTTGTCTCTTGGTCGATGGACTCTCAGCATGTCCCCTAGGTGGTTTAGAAGTATCCTTGAGACTTGTGCAGTTTTCAGAGGTGCAGATTAGTGCAAACAGAGGCAACATGACATGGCGATGGATTTCCGAGCGAAGCCGACCGAGCATGCATGCATCCCTCTTCCCGAGGCTGTTTTACTACTTTAGTAGCTTAATTGATCTGCTTAATTAGTTAAGCGTTGTGTAATAATTAATTAGTTTGTTAGTTAGTTAATTGGATAATTTGTATTATTCTTTCGGACCCTCCATCGAGAGGGCTAATTGTGTAATAAGTGTGCGTGTGTGTGATGCATGTCTTCCAACCCCCATTTTTTTCTCTCTTGTTATTTAACCGCTTATGATGGTTAGCTTTAGGGCACGTTTGATTTAGCATCCTTATGCTATGCATGTATGCATCATTCATTTGTATTGCATGCACCGGGCTCGGGGCATCATACTAACTGCATTGTATTTCAATTCCAAGTTGAATACATGTATCAAAGCTGCATCTCATATGCCATTCTTAGAATAGCCGAGCCTATTCTAGTTGCATTTTGTATGTGTTGCACTAGCCATTGCTAACATGACCTAGGATCATGCATTGATTACTAACTAGTTTCTTTTTTGGCTCGAAGTACACTGTGAGTGTTTATACTTTAGCATCTTGCATGTGTGTGAGCGTGAACATGACAGCATGCTTTCCATGAGGCTAATTGCTTATGTGATATAACTGCCTGAATGCCTGTGGGTGAAGGTTGGATTACTTGAATTATTAACAATAGAATCCAAAATATTTGACCCTGAGCATAGAACAAAAAGAAAGTTGGTTGGGCAATCATATTTATGCCATGTATATGTGGATTTGTTCTAGCATAGAATTTTTTTCTATTAAAAATATGCTATCACATGCACATCTGCAGGTCCTATAAAAATGTCAACCTAAAAAGATTTTGCCATCAAATTAGGTCACAAAAGCACACTTATCCATTGACTTACAGAAATTGATGAAGCAAATTTTAGTGTTAAATGCACCATCTCGCTACTGCATATTAGCAGATTTCCTAGTTTACCATGCACCACAATATCCTTACTTGAAGTATTGACCAATAAAACATTGGTTACTATTGTTTTTACCATCAGTTCAATTTAGATTGTCACAGATTTGATATTGAGAGAAATATCTCAACAAGTGTGCGATACCAAAGCAGGCCAGATGACAACAAATCATGCTCCATATCATTTACAAATAAATTTTTGATAGTGGAGAAGCTTAGATGACAAAATTATACTGCTCATGTCCATGGACCAATCAATTGATGTAATAAAACAAAAACTACTCTCATTCCACGCCATGGTAAAAGATAATGCAAATGATAAAATGAAAGTTGTTAATATTATTGACTTCATCAAACTTGATACTATAGGCAAAATGTGTCAATAAAATAATAGTTTATTCCCCCCATCAAAAATAAGTGCACAAATCCAAGTACTTGGAATTTTTCCCAATAAATTTATGAAATGGAGCCAGTAGTTATAATATTCTAAGATTCCATTCAGCATCAGGGTTAATGTATGTAACTAGTAGATAAACTACAAGGGATAGACCAGACCATAGTAAAAGATAATGCACATGATAAAATGGAAATAAGTTCGTCAAACTAAAATTTCTGGGAAACCTGTTCATAGCCACCAAGTCTGATGACTGCTCTCCATAACCTAACTCACATATACAAGAAACATTAGTGCAAATCAGGAAGCACCCAAAAAATTAAAGCAAGCAAATTTGACAATTAGGGTCACTCATAACTCACTTGAGGCAATTTAATGGCTCTCCATAAAATCTTGGGGGTTTGAATTCCAAGCACCTCTCTTTGTGGAAAGTTTCCAGCTCCTTCATGAATGCTGCTTGCTCTTCCTCTGTTCCGGCCTCATCGCCCCCATTAGCATTTGTTTCCAAGAATGACTTGTTTGAGGTCTTGTATGATAAATCCCTGCAAACAAACAAGCTATACTGCTGGTTACCAGTATCATGAGAGGGAATCCTTCCCATATAAATCTTTTTGTTCCTATTGGGATGTTTTTGTAGAGGGCAAAGAAAATGAAAGAGAAATGAGAAATAAAGTAGAAGTTAATTTATTTTTTCTTTTAGGGAATGCCATAAGTTTTCCTCCTGTTGTTGCCAAAACTGGAACATGTAATTTTAAAATGCTTAGATAGTTAGAGTTGCATTGGTGAAGAAGAAAATACTTACAAATACTTCAATGATTTGAGACCAAACAGAGCAGGAGCTATTTCCCCAGTCAAATCACTAGAGGAAAGGTTACACGTTGATTCTCGTCCAAACCAAATGGTTCATTGCACTATGAACATAAACACTTCATGCACGACTGATGATAGAGGCGTGAGGTTATGTTCAAAGCATAATTTAAATTCAATGTTCATTATGGCTTCACACATCAATTATACACTTTTTAGCAGCAAAAGTAGGTAACCTTTCCACAAGTTTTTGTGCACATGAGAGCATTTATTTAGTCACACATAGTTGCTGTGCCAGTCAAATGGGTGTGCTTCCAATATACTCAATTGATGATGTCAGGTTCATCTTGCTTCTACATGATCTCATTCTATATTTCAAACTCACATAAAATCAGCTCCAAAACATTATACCAACATATGCTGTCGAACTCTTTTCAAGTGACTGGATTCCATGAGAATTACTCTATTAGACTATCATCCAGATTGATTCCATTGCCCAACTTTTGAAGCAAACACTACTGCTCATTTCAACCAACATGATCAAAATCATAGCAAACTGCCAATTTTTCTTCACCCGATACGTCAATGAGATATTCACCATAGCATCAACTAATATTTTACAAGGTAAAAAGAGAATGATATGAAACAAGTTAAGCCGAGTAAAGGAGAATGAAACAAGAGCAGATGAAAAGCAGTATAGATGAGAAAAACTAACATGGTGTTTGTGCAAATTAATTTCAAACGAGTGTTGATTTGTAAAAATTAAGAACCCGACATGGAGAAGTTATTACAAGCAATAAAATTTTGCAAAACTAAGAAACCTGTAGTCATTATTGCTCAGGGAGTCAATTGGGAAAAATGTATCGATCTGCACCGAAATACAAATCTCAAACAAGAATCGAAATTCAGAACATGGAACACATACAGTAATAAATTACGAATCGAACCTAGATCTGGAAAAGTTTTCTTCTGAATGTTCACATTGAATAAACACATCGGATACAAAAAATTATTCAAATTACGAAGAAATTAAACAAATGAGAGCGATGCGAATAAAAAATTGAATCAATTAAACAAAAAAATTCAACAGAACAATTGAATCAATAAAGTAACCTTCAGATCAGCGAACCAAGCAGAGACATTCGGGATCTATAAATTGTGGATCTTAGATCTGCTAATAGAAGTTGTGTATATGTGTGTATGTAATTTCGAAACACACACACACACACAGAGCGAGAGAGAGGCAGAGAGAACCTGCTTGCTTGTGAAGGACTAACAGACTGATAGCGCGAGACAGAGAGGGAGAGAGAACCTGTGATCTGCGCGGTGGCGATGGTGATTTGCGGCTGCGGCGGTGGCGATGTGCGACGTACGGTGAGCGACTGTGGTGAGGGACTGTGCTGAGATGAGGTGGGGTGAGGTTTGGTGGTGATGTGTGAGAGAGAGGACTTTTGTGTTTGTTCAAAACGAGAATGGAAGAGGGCGCGAATATTAAAAGTAATTTCCCCCGCAAAGTTTTAGACCAATTTAGCGACTAAATTGGTTATTAATTTTTAAAATATTCACTAAATTGTATTTATTAATTTTTTAGCGACTAAATTGTATTTATTAATTTTTAAAAATATTTTTTTACAATATTTTACTTTTTAGATACATTTAAGTAAGATAGATCTAAAAAAGTAAAAAAAAAATACTTACAATTTTTAAAATATTCACTTAAAAAAAACCCGAAAAACAAAATATTCAGTGGCGATGGTAGAGGAGAGATAATAGTAGTAGTAGTGGTGGTAGTGGTAGTGGTAGTGGAGTGGTAACGATGGTGGTAGGAATGGTAGTCGTAGAGGTGGAGTGGCAACAATGGTAATAATGCTGGTAATGGAATGACATTTGCAGTAGTAGTGAATGTGGTAAGGAGATGGGTGGTGAAAGAGAGATGAGTGAGAGACAGACAGAAAAGAGAGATAAAGAGAGAGAGACAGATAGAGAAGAGAGATAAGGTGATGAGCGAGAGAAAGACAAAATGGTCGCTAAAAGTGCATTTTCTTGTAGTGGAGAGCTCGGTAAATAGAAAAGATGGGAGGGAGAGAGTGGGCAAGATGAACACAATGGGGAAGAGAGACAGAGATAGAGAGACAGACAGACAGACAGAGAGATGAGTGAGTGAGTGAGAGAGAGAGAGAGAAGAGTGAGAGACAGACATAGAGAGAGAAAGTGAGAAAGAAGAGTGATGAGTGAGAGAGAGACAGAGAGAGAAAGAGATAGAGACATAGACAGAAAGAAATAAGAGATGAGTTAGAGATAGACAAAGAGAGAGAGAAAGAGAGCGAAAAGAGATGATCGAGAGAAAGACATAGAAAAAGAGAGAGATAGAAAGAGAAGAAAGATGAGCATGAGAGACAGAGAGAGAGAGAGAAGATAGACGAGTGAGAGAGATAGAGAAAGAAAAAAGATGAGAGAGATAAAGAGAAGAGAGATGAGCGAGAGACAAAGAGAAAAAGAGACAGAGACAAAGACAGACAGACAGAGAAGAATGATGAGTGAGAGAGAGAAAAAGAAGAGAGACAAAGAGAGAGAGAGAGAGAGACAAAGAGAGAAAGAGATAGAGACATAGACAGAAAGAAATAAGAGATGAGTTAGAGATAGACAAAGAGAGAGAGAAAGAGAGCGAAAAGAGATGATCGAGAGAAAGACATAGAAAAAGAGAGAGATAGAAAGAGAAGAAAGATGAGCATGAGAGAGAGAGAGAGAGAGAGAGAGAGAAAGAGAGCGAAAAGAGATGATCGAGAGAAAGACAAA